AAAATAAATGAGGTTCGAAAGTTACTTTGAGAGCTGTGTGGCCATTGTGACTTAAGGTCCAATATATGAGGTTCGAATGTTACTTTGACACCTGTGTGGCCATTGAAAAAGAGGGTAAAATAAATGAGGTTCGAAAGTTACTTTGAGAGCTGTGTGGCCATTGTGACTGAGGGTCCAATATATGAGGTTCGAATGTTACTTTGAGAGCTGTGTGGCCATTGTGACTGAGGGTCCAATATATGAGGTTCGAATGTTACTTTGACAGCTGTGTGGCCATTGTGACTGAGGGTCTAATATATGAGGTTCGAATGTTACTTTGAGAGCCGTGTGGCCATTGTGTCCAATATATGAGGTTCAAATGTTACTTTGAGAGCTGTGTTGCCATTGTGACTGAGGGTCCAATATATGAGGTTCAAATGTTACTTTGAGAGCTGTGTGGCCATTGTGACTGAGGGTCAAATATATGAGGTTCGAATGTTACTTTGACAGCTGTGTGGCCATTGTGACTGAGGGTCTAATATATGAGGTTCGAATGTTACTTTGAGAGCTGTGTGGCCATTGTGACTGAGGGTCTAATATATGAGGTTTGAATGTTACTTTGACAGCTGCGTGGCCATTGTGACTGTGGGTCCAATATATGAGGTTCGAATGTTACTTTGACAACTGTGTGGCCATTGTGACTGAGGGTCCAATATATGAGGTTCGAATGTTACTTTGAGAGCTGTGTGGCCGTTGTGAATGAGGGTCCAATATATGAGTTTCGAATGTTACTTTGAGAGCTGTGTGGCCATTGTGACTGAGGGTCCAATATATGAGGTTCGAAAGTTACTTTGAGAGCTGTGTGGCCATTGTACTGAGGGTCAATATATGAGGTTTGAATGTTACTTTGACAGCTGCGTGGCCAGTGTGACGTTTTTGCTAAGTCATTAATATAATTTCACGTACATGTCCCAAATGTTTTTTCTTGATATTTATGAAATTGTTTTTAACCATTTAAAATTTCATTTTAAAACATTTTTTAAAATCCAAAAATAAGAACTCAACATATAATGAAAATTTGGTCTGACACATTTATTGGAACAATATGGCTTGGGATCATTTTGCAACAGTCACTTAAAAATTTCTTTTTTTTTTCTTTTCGCGACTCATTTCTGCAATTCCCATCCCAGCCCCACCCCTCTTATGTAAAGGTTGTATTGACCTTCCTGTTTTACAATTTTCATGTTTCTGTGTTTGTGTTGGTGTTTGTGTGCGAGTCTTTCTTGATATTCTCATCCTATTATCGAGCATTCCACAATTACTGAAAGCCATTAAATGCATTTAAATACAATTTTAAGGAAGGCGAATTCCCTACTCTCAAAATTAAAACAAGAAAGTTTGAAAATTTTAGATCCCCCCTCCTCCTTTCTTCTTAAGTGCACACTTGAGGCGCGCGTTTATAAGGGTCGTCAGCAAATACAATTGGTTGCGTCCAGGCATTTGCTGTGAAACGAGCTTTCAGCCTATTTTAAAACTCGCTTTGACATTTAGAGAATAGTATACTCCTGAACTGTTTGCCTGGACTTAAAAATATTTACCATGGCGACCATTTCTTATAGCAGCTGTTTTTCTTGGAGCGGTGACAAGTAGGTTCTTGATATGTCTTTTCAAGAAATGGTTTTCTTTTTCTTTTTTTTTTTAAAATTAACGGCGATGTTTGTTTTATATGTGCATATAAAAGGGAGATTTGTGTGTGTCGTTGTTCGTCCTTCGCGTGCGAAGATGATGAAGGCTATATTCAGAGATGGGTACGCAGGTGGCCTGACAGTCCTATTTGTGCCTGGAAAGCTTTCCCTCACGTAGAGCATGTATACATATTTATATTGTGTTTTTGTTTTCCTCTCAGACGTGAAAGGGCAAGGACTCACTGACGCACAGCAGAAGTGTTTAACTGATTTCCGAAATGGCCAGGCCGCGGACGTATGTCCAGCTTTCACAGAGCTGGTCAAGTGCTTTTTGAAGGTCACCTATACAAAGAGACCAACTGCTGAAGAGCTAGAAAATGGAAAACTGACCTTGAACAGCATTAAACCAAGTACCTGTGATGTTGACTTGGACAAAATCGTCAATGAAGTTTATAACGGAGCCACGAGGAACGCGGTGTCTGTAGTGTTGTGTGCCGCGGCCACCATCTTGGCCTACTTTCTCATGCGAGTTTTGTAGATGAGCTTTGATCACGTGTAAAGCTATTTTATATCATTAGATTGAACACACAAAAACTGAAATAATTCTAATCATATCATATTTTTATATTATAAAATGTATTCATTACCATCAAAGGGAAAAAAAAACAAAAAGAAACAAAAAGAAAAAAACAACAACATTGATGCGATTTCCTTAAAGGAAATCATAAGGTTAACATAAATATTAGTAAAATGTGTTGTAACTTCATATTTTGCTGACGAGAACTATTTAAAATTCTCGGTCAGAGGTCAACTACCTTTTTTTTTGGGGGGGGGGGGGAATTGAACGACTCTCACACAGTGGTCGCCTAAGATCATCGGAAAATATGTACCGGTATTTATGGAGTAGCAACGAAAATAATTTCATGTTTGGTCGTCACCACAACATGTGGAGCTGTATCAAAGGGTCGCAGCATTAGGAAGGTGAAGAACCACTGCCTTAAAAAGAAGTGTCGGTCGGCAACTACAAAAATATTTCTTAACTATCGCCCGTGCAATCCGGGTTGAATCAGCTCTAACTTTTAGTATGCACACATGTGAACAGCGATAACGGTGGACAATAACTATATGCGTTTTAACGTATTTAATTATTGAATTGACACAACCTGAACATCTTTCTTACAAGGTCATCACATTTTGATAAACTACAAAAAAATAATAATTAAAAGCAAAATTAGTAAGTTACTCTAATTGGTTCTTAACNTTCTTGCAGTGTGTAAGTGTTTTTTTTATCATCTAAAAATTTCCATTCCTTTTTTTTCAATTTTTTTTTTTTTTTTCGTTTATTTGTTTCTTGGTGTATTTGTTTTGTTATTGTTTTCGTTTCGAAATGACATCGGGTATTCCCGATTTGGACTTTGATTTTAATGGTAAAAACGTTTTGCTGTTTTGACAAAAGTTTAAAAGGTCAGTTAGTGGGTAATGCACAACCATAATTGTTCAAACCGTAGCAATCTGATATAGCATCAAAGAATCACTATTAAAATTGCCTCTAGTGTTTACGAGTGAGGGAAATTACGAGCTTGTCATCTTGATCACTTTTAAAATGGTTGTAGTCAAAAAGACATTTTCAACGATACAAAATCAAAATTCATTCTCCCTAAAATAGAATAGCATCGTCCTTCGCATCAATAAATTATAAATATTGCTGGCTCATGCCTACTGTTTGAACACGTTTTAGCATTTAAAGCCTTCACGGAGAAAGAATGGGGTGGTTCTACCTGTACTAAGTGATCCTAAATGGCTCATAGTCTTGGCTTTTCTTGTTGACATTACACAGGAGCTGTATATACTCAACAAGAAGTTACAAGACCAGGGGGTTGCTTGTCAGTGTTGTCAGGGCATTCTCCGTTAAACTTGTGTTATGGTTCTGCCATCTCCCAACACGCTAAGTCCTCATGGATCCGGGAACACCATTGAGTGGTAAGTATACTGATGCCATTGCAAATCTACTGGAAGAATTTGATCACATGGTTTTAGACTCAAATACACTCAAAACCACTTTTCAACTTTTTGCCGACCCTTTCTCCTTTATTGAGGAAGATGCCCCCCTGCTGCGCTTCAAATGGAGCTGATTGATCCTCAGACTATCATGGACAATTTATGAGAGCATTTCCCACCACCTTCCCTGATATTTCCAGGTTGTTCAAGCGAATCATGCGCCTTTTTGCCGTACCTATCTGTGTGAAAAGCTCTTTTCCTCTATGCACTTTAACAAGTCAATGTTCAGGGCAAAACTTACTAATGAGCAACTTCAAGCTATACTGAGGGTCTCAGTTGCTTCCTCACTCCAACCAAATGTTGTTCAGCTGTGTAAGAAGAAGCGCTGCCAAGTCTCTGGCAACTAGGAGTAGGAGGAAGAAAATGAAGCTTGGTTCTTGAGAACCCTTAATGTTTATGTGTAATTAATTTGTGATTGCTTTTTTTTTGTGGATTACTTGATGCGGCCCAGTCTCATTCAGGCTCTACCTCCTGCGGCCCCCGGATGATTTGAGTTTGAGACTCTTGCATTAGATGCCTATCTATTAAAACTCACGATGACCTCATTTTTATAAAAAAAAATTAAATAGCATTTTGATACCTTCCCCAATCATTTTTCGCTGTACGAAAAACGTATGCGTGAACGAATGTCAAAATATTAATTAATTTGGCTACGGCTTCAGCTTCGGCTGAGAGTCCTTTTTTACTTTTGGTCTGGTTTCGGTTTTGGCCGACCGAAATCACAAAATCCCTTTCGGATGGTCTCTAGAGTCAACTGACCAGGATACCCAGGTGGGTCACGTTCAATAGTAAAAAAATTTCTTATTTTTTGTTATTAAAACTTTCAGCTGCCAAATAACATTGTGGCTCACAATATTATTAGTGCTACCACATTATTAGCTCTCCCATTCCCTTGGCTCTCTTATATCATTGGCTATCTCATATCATTGGCTGCCTTAAATCATTGGCTCTCCCTTGTCACTGGCCCTCTGATATCATGGGCTTTCTCATATAATTGCCTCTTTTATATCACTGGCTTTCTCATATCATTGGCTCTCCCATGTCAATGGCTCCCTCATATCACTAGCTCTCCCATATCATTGGCTTTCTCATATCATTGGCTCTTTCATATCATTTGCTCTCTCTCGTATCATTGGTTCTCCCATGTCATTGCCTCTCCCATGTCACTGGCTCCCTCATATCATAGGCTCTCCCACGTCAGATCCATAGAGAAATTTCTTTAGAATTTTTCTCTTTCTGTATTTAAAACAATTTAATTGACATCACGCGTTTAGGCGTTCAACTGCAGAAAAGCTTTTTAAACGTTTTCGCAAACTTGCTACTCGTCATGAGATATATCACCAAATTAAAGGCGCAGCTGGCCTCGTAGGCCACGGTCTGCAGACACCTGAGGATGTAAACCTGGTTGTCGTTGAAGTAATTCGGCGAGTACACGGTCATCATCTCCAACACCCCTGTCGGCACGAACACGAGGACGACGATCATGACGCACAGGATCACGGCCGTCCTCGCCGACTTCATCTCCCGCTTCCGTTTCACCGACGTCACGACGGCGGCGGCGGCTGACAGCAGACGCCTGTTTCTCGAAAACGCCGCGAGACCGACGGTGGTCATGACGGTGCACGCCGAGATGACCGCGACGGGGGCGTAGAACAGGACGACGTTGATGGCGATGTACAGGTCGTGCGTGATGAACCGGAAGTGGGTGGCGAGGAACTCGGTGCCGACCATCCGGGCCACCGTCCTGTTGGTGCCGGGGTCGGTGACCCACTCCACGTTGAACAGGAACAGCCACGGCGACGACAAGCCGATCACCAGGAGATACCCGAGGCCGATGGCGAGCTTGACGCGCGCGGAAGTGACGATCCTGAAGGCGCTGAACGGGAAGCAGACGGCGACGGTCCGCTCCACCGCGACGACTCCGACTAGGTAGACGCTCGACGCCAAGGCCACCTGATTCCAGAAGTAGACGTACGCGTTGTAGCAGATGTACACGGAGGTGGCCAGGGTGGCGTCGAATTTCCTGACCACGCTCTCCAGGCGAGATATCACCTGGGTGCAGGAGAAAACCACGTCGTTGAACGAGAGCCACGCGAACAGTATGTTGGTGTTGTTTTTCATGTTCCTCTGAGCGAACACGGCCACGTTGAGCATGTTCCCGACGATGCCGCACACGGCGAGGACGTGGCTGAACACGCAGTTGATGAGCAGGTCCGCGATCAGGAACGAGTCCGTTCCTAGTTCGTCGACCCGCGCATCTTTGACCGTCACGTCGCTGTTGTAAGCCGGGCTGTCGTCACACGAGCAATTCATGATAAATGATGTGTGGAAGTCTGCACTTATGGTGAATATTTTATTTTCTTAAGTCAAATTTCAAAACTATATTTTTTTTAAAAAGGGGAAATAACAATGGTCGTTGCAATGGTTTGTGCAATGGTTTGTGCTTATATTCGAATAACGCGGCACTGGACCGGGTGGGGGGTGGGTGGAGGGGGGAGGCTTATTGAACTTGGAAGCGTTGGTGTGCAATCGGAGCACACACTGAACAGATCACCGACGTGATTGAATGATAGACGCCCATGAATTTACCGTTACGCTCCTATGATATAGTTAAAATATCTTCTCCCTTTTTTCAAATGTTAATTTTGTTTTGAAAAGCGAAAAGGGCGGTCACTAAAGAATCCAAGAGTCAAGGCCATCGCACTGTCAAGTAATAATTGGGGGCTAGGGGAGGAGGATATAGGATAAACTTATAAAAAAGAAGAAGAAAAAAAACTTCAAACATTGACTTAAATAATTAATGCAAGAAATGTATCTCTTTAAAAAAAAAATAATTAAAATATAAACACCATTTTGAGAGATGTGTGGAACAAAATAATGAGCCGAATGACAGTCCACGGTGACGTTAACAACAGCAAGCAAACCTCAATACCAAACTAGCGGGGGGCTTTTTTTCTTATTTGTTAAATTCCTTTACTCAAATAAACGAGAGGTTTTATTTGTAATTCCCCCCCCCTCCCCTCCCCACCACATCTCTCCCCGCAGACATGACCCGCGGGAACCCCGTGAAATGTTAACAAGTAGTTCATTACGAATGTGAGCCTAGACCAATCGTTGTAATAATAATTGCCGTAGGCGTCGTTGTGCGTCAATACTAATTCAACGCTCTTTGAAGCACGTTTCGAAAACAAGAACAATTCAACAAAAACATAAAGATGATTGGAAAACAGTAATCAGCGATAAGTGGGGGGGGGGGAACATTGGTGGAAAAGTCAGTATTTAAAAAAAAAAATAGTTTTTCAAAAAAAAAAATTTAAGAAAAATATTTTCATCTTTTTATAAAAAAAAAAATTATTTTTCAAAAAAAAAAATTTAAGTAAAATATTTTCATCTGTTTACTAGTGTACAACACAGCCTCCCCCCCCAATTCCACCCCCCCCCCCCCTTATTTGCTTTCCCCCAGTTGATCACGTGATCCAAGATCAAGATCTGAGCAGGTTTGTATGACGTCATCTAACGATTGGGGAATTAAATGGCTTATATGCAGTGCTAGAATTCTGAAGGGATTTCATTTATACGCAGCAACAACAGCGACAACAACGACAACAACAACAGCGATGACAATGACAACGACAACAACAACAACTGCGACGACAACGACAGCGGGGGGGGGGGCGCAGGAATGGTTGCCATCCCCGTCATGCTTTTCAACAAATTTGTTAGCACAGATGTTCCCAGATGTTCCCAGATGTTCTTTAAAATTGTTTCACTCACAGCACTCTTTGTGGCATCCCAGTTCAAATCTGTAACACGACTTGGGTTGTGAGCCATTGACATCAAATAGCCCCAGTTACAAGTTCACAGGGCGTGTAGTCATTTACATGTGTGACGTGTGAATTAGTGAATAGCGTTTAGCTTTGACGATTCGATTTACTCAAGGGCTTGAACGGTATTTTCTCCCTAAAAATTAATATTAAACTTTTCTTCTCTTGTTTCTTTATAAATTTGATAAATACAATTCTTTGCAATGAATGGTAAGTAAAACTTGTTTAATGTCAGGCGTAGAAAGCTAAGATTTGGTGTAGGGCATCAACATTTTAAAAATAAATCAAATATAATTATTTTTAAAAGAGGTATAAAAAAAAAAACAATATAAATTTTGCAACATGAAGTTAAAATCAAGGAAAGATTAAGGTTATGAATTGTAGATTTAAAATAAGTTCTTATCAGCTTATTCACAAAATTTTTACTTCATTAATTTCAAGAGAGAAATTTTAATTCGATTTTTTTGGAAGACATTACGGGACCCATTTACCCAGAAGAGCATTGACAGGTTGGAGGCGGTCCAGCGACGAGCAGCACGCTTTGTCCTAAACCGCTACAGGGATACCTCTAGTGTTGGCCGCATGCTAGAAACACTAGGCTGGTCACCATTGGAGAAACGACGACGACAATCCAGGCTCTCCATGATGTACAAGATATATAATGGGCTGGTCCACTGTTCCAGTATTAAACAGAAACTCGTCCCTCTCCCCCATAGACAGCGACGAGGCCATGACAGGCAATTCAGGCTCATACCAGCAAGAAGCCAGTATAGGAGCTGCTCATTCCTGCC